TCCTCCACCCTCCTGTTTATCTCTCATAAGCCCTGGACTGTTCTGAAGTCCCCTATGCTAGGCTTTTGGACAGGCGGGGCGGGGGGGGGGGGGGCATTGTTTCCATGGTAATTGGCATGGGACCAGGATTCCTGCCTTAAGCCTGTCAATGTGCATTTTGTTTCCTTTATGGGCCTCAGGAGAAATAGGGTATTGGAGGACCCATAAGGGCATTGCATCCACCTTTAGTTGGACTCACAATAGGGGTCTGATGTTGGGCCAGCCCTGGTAGGTTGGTTTCTGCCCATACTCGTGGGATTTCTTTTATGAGTTGAGACAGGAGGGGTGATTGTCTTTTTTTCCCTTTGGCTGGCAAGGAGCCAATGCCAACAGGTATTCTTGGTGAAGGGGTAATGTTATCTCGCTCATTGTTGGGGCATCGGAGACAGTTTTATTGAAGCTTCGTTGTCCTGGAAGATGATGTGGGCTTCAAGCTTATGGAGGAGATCTGGTCCCAATAGGGGATATGGGCATTCAGGAATGACCAAAAAGGAATATATAAAGGTCCCTGTACACAAATCTACAGTCTGCCCCTTGGTATCTGAATGCCCCCTTGACAATGGTTTGTCCTTTAGTCAAGAGTCCTTTGAATTGCATTGCATGAGAATCAAGAAGTTAGTGCCCATGTCAACTAGAAAAATCAGTAGGTTATCCCTCCACCTTTCAAGTTATCTGGGCAAGAGGAGGGAAACTGAGCCCTAACAGCCTTAGCCTGTGATGGGTCAAGGACCTTGGGCCGTTGGAGTCTCTCCTGAAGCTCTGGGCAGTTGTATACCAAAGGCTGAGCTGTGACAGTAGAAACAAACACCCATTGGGGCCTGCTTTTGTGGCTTCGGGGTGTTGGCCCTGTGGGGTGTTGGCCCTGTGGCGAGGTTGATTATTGGGCCGCATTTGCTGGTTGGCTGAAGTGCCATTCTGCCATGAGTCCAGCATGATCTGGGCCGTCCTTTGACCTTGGCAGTCTTCTGCCAGTTCATGGTTAGTGTAGACTCATGCCGCTATTTCAACTAATTCTGAAAGCAATTTTCCTTCAAACTCTTCAATTTTTAATTTTTTTTTTTTTCCGAATGTCGGATGTTTGAACCACAAAAGCAATGTTAATTGCCCATCGGTTTTCTTCTGCCTCGGGGTTGATGGTAATATATAACCTGTAAGCTTCCATAAGGCACTCTAAAAAAACGGAAGGGGGAGGGATTTTGATGGCTCCTGGATAACTTGGTTAAACTTAACAAATTAGTGAGTTTCCTGGCAGCATCTCTGAGACCGACCTCCCCCGCCAATAGAGCCTGGTGGTAGATCTGGAGATGCTCCTTGCCTAATTGAGATGGAATTAGGGTCCCAGTCAGGACGAATCAAAGGGGAAACTGAGTCGAGAGTGGCCAGGTCAACAGTGGGTGGCCATGGCGACCAGGGACCTGTTTCCTGACTTCTCAGATGATGCGCGCTCATTCCTCAGAGGTGAAGAGGGCCTGGAGGAGTTGTTGTAACCCTCCCAAGTGGTCTGATGAGTAAAGAAGATGGTCTAAAAGAGGAGTGAGACCTTGGGGATTCTCAGAGAAAGGGGGATTCTGTTGTTTCCAGTTGTAAAGATCTGAGGTTGAGGAGGAGACAGTAAACAAGGAAAGGGGTGTTGGCATCAGGGTCTGTTGGTGGGGCTTCACACAAAGAAAGAATTGTAGGGGGGTTGGTAAGGAGTGCCAGCACAGGTGTGGGGGGGAGAGAAAGGATTAGCTGGGGACAGGGGAGGTATCTTAGAGGGAGGGACAGAAAGTGACTGAGAGAGAGGATAGGCTGGGGGAAGGTCAGCCCCTTCAGGACTAGAGCCAGGGAGGGCAGCCTTCATGGAGGAGGCGGCTGTGCCCTGTTTTAGCTTTGAGAGGGAGAAGGGCTGCCTGGATGGCCTTAAGGAGAGGCTGGAGCCATTGGAGAGGGTTTTTGGGGAGCCTCCCATGCCAAGATGTAGGGTATTTATAGGTCTGGATGCCCCAGCTTGGCCATGATCACCAGTAAGCTGGAAGGTGCGTCTGTTGCAGGTAGACTGGAGATGAGGGATAGGATGCCAGTGCAACTCCAGACCTCAAGGGGGAGCACAGGCCCCAGGAGAGCCTATCCACGACCTGCTATCGAGTGTAAGCGTGGCTGCTCAGAGGGAAAGGTGTCCTGACAGTCAGGAGCCAAGGAGTACCACAAAGTCACTGTAAGCATAGCAGCTTACAGCCCTGCTCCAGGGGAAGGTTCCCTAGCAGAGTTGTTAGAGCTCCTTCAGCTCTGCTCTGCTCTGGAGAAGTGTTAGAGCTCTGCTGTGTTCCCATTCTGGTGAGAGTTGTTACAGCTGAGCTCCACTCCAGCAAAAGTGTCACACTGCACAGCAGACCTCACTCAGACAGAGTTTATTGGGAAGGAAAAATCCAGGAGGGTGGCTGCCTCTAAGGTGAGAAGCAGCAGCAAACTGAATCAGGGTAAAGGGCTTATATAGATTTTTTTTTTTTTTTTGAGGTGGGGAGGCTTTTCAGGGTGGCTTGGTATCGGTGGGTTTTTGTAGTCTGATTCTAGGACAAGCTCAGGGATTGGTGGGATTCTGTGCTCAGGGATTGGTGGGATTCTGTGCTTAGGGATTGGTGGGATTCTGCAGCCTGACTCTGGGGCAAGCTCAGGGATTTTAAGCCCTGGTGTCAAGTCCTGGTCAGGATGTTTTTTCCTTGGCTCAAGTCTTGAGTCTAGTCAGGGTCAGCGTGTTTTTTTCCTTGGCCCTTTCCACCCTACACTGGGGTCCACACTCAGATTGTCAGGTTTGTGTGCAGGACTTTACCCATTGAGTCATCTTGATGACTGGAGTTGTTTTCCTTTTTTTTTTTTCCCCTCAAGATAAGGTTTCTCTGTAGCCCTGGCTACTGTGGAACTTGCTCTAAAGACCAGGCTGGCCTCAAACTCACAGAGATCTGCCTGCCTCTGCCTCCTGAGTGCTGGGATTAAAGGTGTGTGCTGCCACCACCTGGCAAGGTTATTTTTCTTAATGGCATGTGAGAGTTACGAACTTGAGTATCTTATATTTTTGTGGTATCTTATATATATGTATGTATTTGATGTACAGAGATTAAAATTTGAGTATTAATAGAATCTTTGGACATTTCCTTTGTAGTTTGAGTTTTGTGTCTTGTTTAAAATCATTTACTATGTTAAACTCAGATACTTCCCTCCAAATATTTTACCTAGTTTAGTTTATTTTTAGAACAGTGAAATGTTTATTAAAACAGTAAATTTCCAGAGAAGCCATACAAGAAGATAATAGGGTTTTCTCTTTTGAAAAGGGCCATCAGTACTTGGCAGCCAAGTCACAGTATTACTAGTAAGGGCTGTAATGTTTACTTAATGTTTCTTTTGGTTTAAATAGTCAAGCCTGACCATTTAGATCAGTGGTTCTCAACCTTCCTAATGCTGCAACCCTTCAATACCCTCATGTTGTGTGACCCCCCCCACAAAATTATTTTCTTTGCTACTTCATAGCTATAATTCTGCTACTGTTATGAATCATGATGTATTTACAATTCATAACATAATCTTTGTTTTCCAGTGGTCTTAGGTGACCCCTGTAAAAGGATCCTTTGACAACTCCCAAGAGGTCGAAACCCACAGGTTGAGAACTGCTGATTTAGAACATCTGAAATAAGTTAGACTTGGCCAAAAAGAGCATCTTTTGTAGAACTGGCTGGATGCTTTTAGTGAGTGCAGTTAACTCATGAGTACAATTAGCTCATGATAAGGATCACAGACACCCAATAGTTCTAGAACTCTGGGAGGCTGAGGTAGGAGGGTCCCTCACTTGAGTTCAGGAAGTTGAGATAGGACTAGGCAATATAAAGGGGAGACCCTGTTTCAAAAGAGAATGCTAAAGGGATGGGTTCACAAAATACAACTTCCTTCCCCAGTCAGAAAAAAGCAGCATAAGCCTGCTAGAGTTACCTTCATTCAGTGTTTCATGCTAAAATCAGGGAGGAGGAAAGGAATACAAGTAGAGAACTCTGCTTTAAAGATAAAGATTTGCTAATGTTTAATCACCACGGGTTGAAGTCTGGGGTTTTATTCTGTGATGCTTTGTGAGACTGTGCCCATTAAATGCAAACAGAAAGTGAAGATTTGGTAGGACAGAAGTGAGTGCCTAGATCTGATCAGTTTTGGTGCTGTCCATGGCCTGGTGCAAGGAAGCCTTGTGCTGAGGTCCTTTACAGAGCTATGCAGACCTGTAGTGCTGGGGATCTCTTATCTTTCAAAGTGTGTCTACATGGTAAGCTTTGATTGTGAAACGTCCTTTAGCTGTTACTGGGTATTTGATAGTCCCCTTCCTCCAAGGGATGATCTTGGAAGCCAGCAATGACCACATGAAAAGAATGTGTTCTTATAATGGGCACTGACTGCCAGCAGCCATGGGGTTACCTTGCTGATCCTTCATAGCAGCGGGCAGCCTGAGTTTGGTCCCTAGCCTTATCTCCTGCTTCTCTTTCTCAGTGGTCTGGTTTGCTTTTCAATATGACATGAGATGGGGAACCCCAACCTTACAGGCAGTTTGCCTAGGTCTGCCTTGTAACATCATTTTCTTACTGATTGGTAATGGCTTTCCTTGCTGCATTTTTATAGTGGTGTTAATGTTTTTAAGTTCTGTAATTATAATTGATAAACTTTATTATATCTTCCACATTCACTTCAGTACCCTTGTTTTTACTTCTTTTCATTTGTTTACTCAACAAACCAATTACTGAAGAAATTAGAGCCAGCCAGCCACTCTGTTAGGCTTTGAGCTGTAGTTACAGAGTCATAACCTTGGGGAGCTGACTTTCCAGTGGAGGAAAGACACAGTGGACATTCGCCAGTATGTTGGTGATATATCTGCACTGTGTAGATACTTGCATTGTACATGTGGGGTATGCTGTGTATGATGTGAGGGTTTCAGGTCTGGCTCTCCATTTTGTACAAATTAGAAGGCCTTAATTTCTGGATTCATAGATATTCAGACCATTTGCAGGGGCAACAGAAACTGGGCTCCCATGCTTTCCATTTGTGGTCCTTGGGAGCTCAGCTGTGCCTAGCAGAAAGGTTCCCAATTATCAGTCATTTTCTTGGAAATAAACACCTTAGAGTCTACCATTGTGTTGTGGGAAGTGCTGAAGATGACCTCTGTTGACCAAGGAAAGTGTCAGTATAGCAGAAAATTCAGGATGTTCCAGGTCGCCAAACAGCTTTAGTTCTGTAGACTTTCTTGTGTTTCCCTGAATATGTCTGAAGAGACACCATGACCACAGCAACTCTAAAGGAAAACAGTTAACTGGGTTGCTCACTTACAGTTCAGATGTTCAGTCCATTATCATCATGGTGGGACCTGGCATCATGGCGAGACATGGCAGGCAGACGTGGTGCTAGAGAAGGAGCTGAGAGTTCTACATCTTGATCCACAGGCAATAGGAAGTGAACTGAGACACTGGGCATGGCCTGAGCATGTATGAGATCTCCAAGTCCACCTCCACTGTGACACACTTCTCCAACAAAGCCACACCTCCTAATAGTGCCACTCCCTATGATCTTATGAGGGCCAATTACATTCAAACTACCACAGGGTCGGGGTGGGGGCTGGGGAAGGACTGTGTTGTGCTGAGTTTTCCTAGAGATAATCTTTTCCTAATGGAGCTTCTATTTTTACTTTATAGAGGCAGCTTGTTGCTGTAGCACTTCCTCAGGTTCCTATTTAACCCACTTTCCGTGCTAATGTAGTATATGTACTGAGCTGTTTTTGTACCCTGTGTACTTGAGAATTCCCTTTTCTTGTATTTTAAGAATAGCATTCTAGACGGGTCATGGCGGCGCATGCCTTTAATCCCAGCACTTGGGAGGCAAAGCCAGGTGGATCTCTGTGAGTTCGAGGCCAGCCTGGGCTACAGAGTGAAGTGAGTTCCAGGACAGGTGCAAAGCTACACAAGAGAAACCCTGTCTCCAAAAAAACAAAAAACAACAACAAAAAAAGAATAGGTTTCTATAACAAATCTTGGTTTCTTCATATACTGACTTTTTAAGTAGCATGTTTTTCTATGATTAGAAATAATATATGGAATATATAATTAAAGTTTGGAAAAATAAATATGCTTCTTATATTTCAAATGACCCTCTGGGCTCTTATAAATGGCCTGAACTTCTTACTCAATTTTTATTAAACTATCTGATTTTTTTTTTCTTGCCTGACTTCAGCAGTTCCTATATTTCAAAGAATCCTGTGTCAGTAAATAATTTTGTGGGGCTGTAGAGCTGGCTCCATGGTTTAAGAGCCCTGTCTGCTCTTTCAGAGGACCTGGGTTCCATTCCCAGCACCCAAATGTCTGTAACTCTGGCTCCTGGGGATCTTGTGGCCTCTGGAGGGCCCAGGCATGCATGTGATGCACAGACATACACATGCAGGCACAACACCTATATATATAAATAAAAACATTTACAATTGTTTCCTTGGAAGTCCTTTTGGGCCAGTGAAATAACTCAGAAGGTAAAGGCAGCTACTTGAAGACTTGGTTTAATCCCTGGAACTCACAGAATAGAAGGAGGAAGTTATTCCCACAGGTTTCTGTTAACCCACATATTTGTGCTGCCATTACAAGCAGGTGACTCCTTATAATGTGTAATTAAAAAAAAATTTAAGCCATTTTTGTACCTGTGTGAAGTTTTCTCTTGACAGCAGGCAGAGAAGCCTTTTCATTATTTTTGTGGAAGTTCTTTTATGGTGCAGTTTCTTTTTTTGTTTTGTTTTTGGTGATTGTTCTGAGACAGGGTCTTTACATAGCCTTGGCTGTCCTGGAACTCACTCTGTAGACCAGGCTGGCCTTAACTTACAGAGATCCTCCTGCCTCTGCCCTCCCTGATGCTGGGATTAAAGGTGTGTACCACCAAGCCCAGCTAACTTAGTCATCTTTTCTGATTACTAGTTTCCAATTTAAAATACCCAATATTTGAATTGATCTATGAACTCTTTAGTCTACTCACAATGGGGGTGGAGTGTTCCATGATTTCTGGTGAAAATTGTCTTTTTTTTTTTGGTCATTTAATTGGGCCATCCAAACACACAACTCCTGTAGTTAGGAGTTTAAGTGACCTGAAGTATTCAGTGGAACCTGGTGGCCACAATGAAGAAGTAGATTAGCTCCTTTTCTCACCTTTGTAAATAGTTGTTGCATTCTCACGATGCTTTTCTTTCTTTCTTAGTGGAAGAGAAAGCCAATACCTACCTCCTCCTTGGCATGAGCTTAGACTCTTGTGCACGCTACCTGCTGTTCTCTGGGCATCTATCACAGGCACAGAGGATGTATGAAAAAGCCCTGCAGATTTGTCAAGGAATACAAGGAGAAAGACACCCACAGGTAAAGGAGGAAGGCAGTTCTGAGGTCAGCCAGGCCTGGTGGTAAGCAGGCACTCTGAAGATGGGTCTTAAGGTCACAGGTTCAAGGCTGCTGGCCAAGTTAGGTCACTTGTCAAAAGGAGAAACAGACAAAGGACTGGGTATATTTCGGTGGTAGAGAGCTTGCCTAGCATTGGTGAGGCTCTAGATTCAGTGCCTAGCATCAGTTATGGGCGTGGCCAGGCTGAACTGCATGTGAGGGTATAAAGGTTTATACACAGTCTGCTCACTTTCTTTCCACCAGCTTTCAAGTTCCCAGCTACTTACTACTTGTTTCAAGGAGGGTTTGAGATTGCTGACTAGTCACTGGCTCTGCCTACAAAGCATGTCTAACCCAGTGTCTCCCCGTACTGGGGACTAGACCCAGGGGCTTTGCACCGGCAAGTGCGCTACCACTGACCTGAATCTCTGCACACCAATTAGAAGCAACACCATAACCACTGCATTATAGAACTGTCTTCCATACCAGTCAGAACCTTCTAAGTAAATGTTAGTTAATATATGAGTGTCTTTGCCTCCTGGGTAACTGTGGGAGGTGAAATAGGGACTTAAAAATTTCTTTTTTTCTTTTTGACGGGACTAGGGATTAAACCTAGGGCCTCATAAATTCAAGGCAAGGGCTCTACCACTGATCCATGGCCGTAGTCCTTAAACAACTTTTAAAACCTCTATCACAGAATTTTGTATGATTTTTCTTTTCTTTTCTTTCTTTTGGTTTTTTGAGACAGGGTTTCTCTGTGTAGCTTTGTGCCTTTCCTGGAACTCACTCTGTAGCCCAGGCTGGCCTCGAACTCACAGAGATCCACCTGGCTCTGCCTCCCAAGTGCTGAGATTAAAGGTGTACACCACCACCACCCCCCGGCTATTTTGTATGATTTTTCAAAGCAGGCAAAACAAAGCCTTGTTAGAATGCTAAACACAGAATTGAGATCATCTGAATGCCTGCAGCCCACCATATAAAACAGACAAGACCGAACACGGAATATTTAGGACTTAGTTCCTAGAGCCCGAATGGCATGTCACAGTAAGAAGCAAACCTGAATTGGAGCACCAGCTCCCTCTCTTTTTCAAAGTCTTAAAGAGACCCCCCCCCCCCCATAAGGCAGGTGAGGCTCAGGATCGGGGCAGGAATGCTGTTGTAATGCAGTGAGGTGTACAAAGCACTCGGAATGCTGGCTTCTCACCCCTGCTGCTAACTCCATAACGTCTAGAGCAGAATAGCCTGTTCCCATTCTGAGGCTTCATCATTGCTGGCTGTAGTGTGGATCTGACAATGTCTGCAGCACAGTGTGGGTCCACAGATCCCTGCAGTTCGCCCTTTAATGGAGTTGAAGATGTGTGTGCGCCGTAACAAACGTCAGGCTAATGTTCTGTGTCGGTGTATTTGTAAAGAAAAGGCTGCTCTCTCTTCTAGACCATTGTGCTGATGAGTGACTTGGCTACTACTCTGGATGCACAGGGACGCTTTGATGATGCCTACATTTATATGCAGAGGGCGTCAGATCTGGCAAGAGAGATAAATCATCCTGAGCTGCACATGGTGCTCAGCAATCTGGCTGCCATCTTGACACACAGAGGTATGGAGCTGAAGGGACTGGTTCTCAGAAGGGTGTTGCTGGGCTCTGAGGTAAAACGGGGTGGAGAGGGGCAAATGACAGTGAGGAAAACCCTAGTCAGTGGTCTCAACCTGGGGGTTGTCACACAGCCCTTTACAGGGGCACCTGAGACCATCAGAAAACACAGATATTTACATCACAACTTGAAACAGAAGCAAGATTAGTTATGAAGTAGCAATGAAAGTAATTTTGTGGTTCGGGTCACCACAACATGAGGAGCTACGGATCACAGCATTAGGGAGGTTGAGAACCCCTGCTCTGAGTTAAAAGGCTGGCTAAATCAGGACAGAAAATGCATGTGTGCTAATGTACTATTTTGCTGAATTCACACACTTTCCATCTCTCTGCATGACCATGTGAAGGTAGAGAATACTTTGCAGTGATAGGTTCTTGTCTCTAGTGCTTGACAGATTCTTAAATTGTTTTCACAGGTACAGTTCTTCAGTGCTCTGAAGCCTCAGTATGGTAGTTCTTGCTATTCCATATTACTCAGGGTTTCACCTGATGTTTCCATAAAACATAGAGGGATTATAGGCCTCTATTGCATGTACCACAATTGTGAAATCTTTAAAGGGCATTAGTGGTTCCACAGCACTAAGTTCCTTAGAGCTGACTGACACTTACCCAGGTTCATCTTGAAACCAGTTATCAAGCATGACAGACAGACAGACAGACAGACAGCACTAGGTGTCATTCACCAAGCACCCGGTGAATCAGACACATGCCCTCACTGGTAGTGGTTTCTCTTCAGTCACTTTGGAAACACATTTTCTTCTCCCCTTTCTTTGGGTTATTCTAGAACGATACACACAAGCAAAAGAGATCTACCAGGAAGCATTGCAGCAGGCAGAGCTGAAGAGAGATGAGGTTTCTGTGCAGCACATCAGGGAAGAACTGGCTGAGCTATCGAGAAAAAGTAGACTTCTGACTTAATTTTGTTAAGATGTTAAGATCATTTTGTTGTAGAGGGTAATTTCTGGTAGCCCAAAGGAGTGACTGTTCTTCAGTGTCTGGACCCTAAGCAGAGATGTGAATCATTGTTGAAATTCAGCTTTCTTCAACTCAGCCTCGGTGAAGGACAAGTTGCATACACTGCCACGTTTGTTTTTAAATTTAATTTACTTTGAGATGAGGTGTTGGCCTCCAACTTGGAGTCCTCCTGCCTCAGCCCCCCAAGTGCTGGGACTGTTGATAGGCAGGTACACTGTGCCTACTTTTGTTTGTAAAGGTGCAACAGCTTTCACCCTGTAATGACTGTGACTTATAAGGGCTTGGTGTGAAGTAAGTCATGTTTTCCAGTGCAACCTGTAAGGGCCATCCAGCCTGGACTGAGAAAACCGTAGATTAAGTGGCCAAGTTCTCCACGGTGTGGTCATTAAACCTTTCGTAAGATTTGGTTCATACTTTCTCTTCTCTATCCATTTCTGGCAAACAAGTTACAGGAGGATTTTGGTAAGTTCTCTTACAGTCTTTTATTGAAGCATTGTGAGATTTAATGAATATGGGGGAAATGAGAATTCTGGTTGGCCGCAGTACGGAGCATTAGCTTCTGAAGTGGAAGTTAGGCCCTTTGTTTCCTAAAAATGGTGGTGGCAGAAAGAAGGAAGCCTCTCATCAGTGCTCTCTGAGCCCTGGGCTTTCTGTACAGTCACAGTCACCTAGTGGAGTCGAGCTGAATCCAGCACTAACACTGACAGCACTGATGTGTACCATTGGCAATGTGGAACCGCTGACCTGGATCCTACTTAGCTCTGGTTTTTTACTTTGCAATCTCTGTATTTATACTGTGAAGTGAAGTGGGAAACCAATTATAGATTCTTTGTCTGATGACTTAAAATGAATCGACTGTTATGTTGAAAAAACCATTATCACTGCCTCAGAGTACATACATACAAGATAACACGGATGGATGCTTTTACCTTTGCAACCTGGCAGATGGCCATTTACCTGAGAGAGAAGACAGTTTTTCTGGGTGCCATGAAGGAACACTGCTGGTGTTGGCATTTCATGGAGGTGGGCAACGTGAGTAGGACTGGCCAATGGACTTTTGGTTCATATGTTTGTACTGAGAATCTTCATAATAAACTAGAGACAATGTAATATTGTATGTATTCTAATAATCTTTGAATCATAGAAAAATAATCGACTGAGTTACTAAAAGGAAAACCAAATCCTCGGAATTAAAGCAGAGTTGTGTGTGTGCATTTACCAATCACTCCCTAGCTAACCACATGTTGACCCATTAACCAAGAATAACAAGAGATAAGATTTCAATCACCTCTTGCTTTGAGAATGTTTTACTGTTTCATAATTCCAGAGTTAGCAAAAGTAAAGTCTTAGGATTTTGAATCCTCCATAGTGATTCACCTCATGGTCCTGTGGCTGGGGAGGCTGCAGTCGGCAGATAGACGTCTGATGTGCATGTTCCCAGGAGCGTTCTTTTGCACTGTTATAAAAAAGGCAGTGAGACAGAGGGACTGATCGCCTTTTACTGATTACAACTTTATAAACAATTTTTACATTTAATTTCATATTAAAGTTTTGAACTACACCATGTTACTGGAGTTTTCAGGGATTAAGTGTATGTAAGACAAAATCACAGTATATGAAAATTTAAAGTGTAGTATAAAATTTCTCACTAAATAGACTGGAAAGTTGTCAGAATATTACCTCTACTGGAAGACCTTGATTTAGCTGTATGTGCATGTGTTACAGATACAGTGTTGGCCCACAAAATGCTACACCTTGATATGTAGCTGACTTCATAATCTCAGTGCTTGCTTGCTCTCTCCTTAGTATCACGGTAAGGCATACCTCCATCTCTCTAACTTTGTGAGGATCTTGTTCTAGTTGTTTTGAACTAAAAAATGATGCTGGATTTCATGTTGTGGTGAGCATGGAGCAAGCTAGGCTCATCTGTCCTAAAGTGAACCCAACCCGGAACGGCAAGACCCTTAGGGTCAGTCATCATCATCATCATCATCATCATCATCATCATCATCTTTCGGGCCAGTTGGCCAGATGATTTACTAAGTTCTAGGCTATTACTGGAACTTGGCAGGGGGGATGGGGGGGGTGGGCTTTCAGCAGTAAACTTAATCAAACACTTAGCCTTCATTATGTTTATGATTATTGTAAAGTACACTTTGGACACTTGTAAATTTTACAAGTGATAAGAATCCTGTCTCACTGTGTAGCCTTGGCTGGCCTTGTACGTTTAGTGGTGTGCCTGCCTCTGCCTTCCAATTGCTGAGATTAAAGGTGTGTGCTACCACGCATGGCTAAAGTTTAAGATCTCAAATGTCTGTCTTTATTACTTGCTAAGGTATATGGGCAAATTTGAGCCTGTGTCTTCATCTATAATTAAAAAAAGGGGGAGGGATTCGAAACCAGTGGTACAGATGCTAAGGGCGGCTCAGGCAGTGGCTCTGAGGACTTGAGTTCTACAAGTTCTGGTCTCCTGAAGTCTGTGACCGCTTTGTCCCTTCCAGTTCTCAGTGACATCATCTCCAAACCACTAAGTGCCTGTGCAGTAGAAGCCTGAACACCAGGATAAAGCTGTGTGAAAGCAAATCTTAAAAACACAGCAAGCAATTCTTAATAAAAGAAAGTCATCCTCCAGTACCATAATTAGTTTAAAATTCAGTCTTTAAATTACTTGCACCTTGACACTTGACTGGTGTTCTGTAGAAGCAGTGTGGGCACTGACGTAGAGATAGAAAAGGACTGTATTCAGTGGTTAGAGTTCAGGATGCAGCATAAAACAAGTCTGGAAGACCACAGTTCTGTACAGATTGCTATCCTTTTAACTCAGCCAGATATGTGTCAAACTAAAGAAAAGCGGGTGTGTGTTTCTTGTTTGAAACCTGAGACATGACGACCCTTAGGTCACAAATGATAGACTGTAGCTATGGACAGGATAGTCAAATTTATTTCAGAACAAAAGCTTGGTTGGGCTGCATCAAATGCAGAAGAATACTTAGGGGCGTGGTCAAATTACCAGTGTGCATAAACATTGAGGTATGCCTCAAGTAAGCCTTTAAACTTTAAAACTGAACTATAACATACCCATGCAGTAATATTTTTTTCAGTGCTACTAATGAAGAAAGTAAAGCCCGCACTGGAAACTCCCAACATGACAGTTCTGTTACTCCTGCACTTAGACCTCATTCAGGCTTTATGACAGGGTATGTATTAAAACCTAAACATTTTCACAAGATTGAAACATTCCCAGGAAAGTTGAATTTAGTGGAAACAAAAGTACAATGCCCATGAAAGTCAGTACTGTGTAATGTGCCGCGTGAGGTTGTTTAGAAGGCTGGGATTAAAAAGATAGATAGACAAAGAATTTAAAAAATGACCCCCAATGTTGATGTGCTGATTTAAATTTAAGTACACCAGATGCTACAGCAAGGGGATACACTGCAAAAAGGTCATCTATTTACACCAGAGTGATTTAAAGACATCATGGTTTTCTTTACAAACAGATGTAAGAACAGGAATTGTCCACTTTTAAAAAACTCTACACTTCAACCTTCCACTGTTCTAATCCACTGAATTGCCTGTAGGAGAGGCAGTTTTTTGTTTGTTTTGTTTTTTTCCCATTTGATTTTCCAAATGAATTTACATCATTTCTTCTTCATCTGTGGCCCTGGCTCCTCTGAGAAGTCTCTGGGCACAAATCCTAGGAGAGCAGAAATTCTTTTTTCATCTGCAGTTGAAACCAAAGCCCGAGAGAGCGCCGTGCTGTGCACGGGTCAGTCGTCACTATCAGACAGCGTCTCGTACTGCGCCGAGAGCAGCGGGGCAGGCTCGCGCTCCCAGACGCGGTTCTGCTGATGGGGAGCAGCTTGGCTGAGGGCAGACGGGGCGCACGAGATCGGGGTTGGTGGTGTGCTGCTGAGCATCCGCATGGTCAGAGGGTTGTACGGGAACTGCGTAGATCCTGACAAAGGAAAACGAGACGTCTAGTGTCATTAGCATCTAATGCAGTGTTCACAGGATGGACCAGGGCAGGGCTAGTCTAGTAAAATGGTCTTGGGATGCCTTGAGAACAATGGCAAGGAAAGGCCAGTGATCAGTTTAATTCTAAAAAGGACAGGACAAGTAACCACCTGGGTAAGTCTGTGATAAAACAAAACATCACGTTTCTCCACGGGGAACTGAAGTATAGAGCTACTGAATATTAAGCTCTAATTAGGAGCCTACCCATACTAGTAACTTTCCAATAGAAATCAGAAATACAGCTCTCAGAACATGGCAAGTATCCAGGAAGATTAGTCAGGCTCTATGCAGTCTCACTAGGCTGACTTAAATGTGTATGAGATTTAAAATGGGGCACATTAACAAGAGTACCACCTGTCCTGGCCCCACAGTACGTCCTATCACTTTAAACCAAAGCACAAAACATGCATTTGATCAAGTCCTCTTCTGGTCTAAAAAAAACCTTCCCTAAAAGTAAAGTAATGAGGTAAGAAAACCACTGGGGGAAAGGAAGGGGGAAGGGGCGTGGGCAGGGGAGGAAGGGGATGAGGAAGGTTACAGAGTTCCCCGACACACTTGTGTATGTTATGTACTAACCTCTGTAATGTGTGTACGCTTCTCTAAGAGATTACCAGTACATACACATTTACACATGCCACAGAGGATTAAAAGGCAGAAGCCTTGAAGTGTACATGTTTAAGAACCATGAAAGTGTTAGGCAGACAGGGAACCCACAAGGGGAAAAAAAATACAATTCTCTGAAACTCTAAAATCTACAGCAGATATGCCAGTCTTAATCAAAAAAATGATTATTTTTTGAAATAACATTTAATTCTTGTTTGTATTGTGTATGATATGTGTGGGCATGCTTGTGCCGAGACATGTGGGTGGAGGTCAAAGGTCAACTTTCAGGCGAAGATTCTTCCTAAACGTTTATGTGGGTGGATTGAACTTAGGCCATTAGGCCTGCAGTTACTTTACCCTAAAGCCATTTCATCAGCTCACTGACCCTATAGTTAGTTATGTGATTAAAAACACACGTGCACGTGAGACATTGTGGAGATGTAAACCTACAGACAGTGGCTTTTGTTAAAACAGTACAGTGTACACTTCCTAGTTCTGGTGTTGATTACTTAGTAAAAGCTAAAGGCAAGTCACTACAGGTGACATTTCATCTGGATACAGTCCATGGAAGAGCTGAAACCAGACTTATTTGCAAATACTGGTTATCAACCAGCATAGTGGATGTATGGGTCACATAAATATAAAATCTCTTGTGGGAAGTAGGGTCAAGTAATGACAGAGAAAACTACAGTTCTGCGGGGCAGTGGTGGCGCATGCCTTTAATCCCAACATTTGGGAGGCAGAGAGGCAGATGAATCTCTGAGTTTTGGGAGGTCAACCTGGTCTACAGAGTGAATTCCAAGACAGCCAAGGCTACAGAGAAACCCCGACTCAAAAAAACAAAAAAAAAAGAGAGAGGGAGAGGGAGAAAGAAAACTACAGTTCTTGCCCAAACCATAACATCTATTCAAAAGCAGGTAGTATTAGGAAAGCACTGACATTAAAATGACACCTAATTGATCAGTTAGATGAGGCTCCTCAACACTCCCCACCTGTGGAAGAGGGCCTGTCTTCCCAGGCCCATCCTGGTGTCTGCCTGTGGTAATCACCTTCTGAATGTACAGAGGAGACTGAAGAAGGTCGTTCAGTCCCTAAGTAGCTTTGCCCAGGAATAGGAGATTTAGACTTCCGGCTGTTTGATTTGTTGATCAGCTTTGGTTTGCATACTCCTAAAAGTGAAATTCAAGTTACTATATTAACTGCCGGTAATTCTCAGTGACAGCAACAAAGCCTCCCCAAATGCTGATTTTATAACACCAAGTGAAAAAACCAGCGGTAGCATGAAGAATCCAGATCCTGTGCTCAACTAAAGATGCAGATTGTCTTTTAAGGAGCGGGTAGGGCACATCATCCTGGAAACTTAAGAGCATGGTGACTGCTGGCCTTATAAGAATATGGGGAATGGTAATAAACGCCTGCTTCCCTCTCCCCCTCCTCAATTTAAAAGAAGTAAATGGAGGACTTGGGCTACTCAAGTGTGTAAAGGACAGGCT